CCAACCTAGCCTATATGGACTCTTAGATGAAAGAAAAAAAAAAATTAAGCATACCTTAAGCCATTTTGTAGTCTCTTAAGGTAATGAGGTTTTATCCTAAATACTATAATCTTGAAGTTAGAAAATAAACTGAAAGACCAATAGCCAATACATTTACCCTCATCTATTCTTGGTCTGGGGTACAAATCAACAGGAGCCACAGCTGGGAATAAGCCACACGTGTGTGCCCCGAGAACATCACTGGGGAAGAACCTTCATTGTTGATGCTAAAGAATGGAGCTGTCCCTTTATCATTTTTAGGTCGTACTTAACCCATCTAATTGACAAGAAAACAGATAACAAAGCTCACATCACCACTTCATAAGGAACCAAAAATATAGGCAAAGAGCTAGGTGGACTTTCACAGCAGCAATTCTTACTAAATGTACCACCAAGGAAAAATACCTGCCACTAAAAATGCCTGTACCACAAAAGAAAAATTTTTTAAAAAATCTTATTAAGACCGTTCTGTTGTCTGAGGTGCCTAGACTAGACAATCTTTGAGGCTGTTTCTAGCATTGTCCGTCATTTGTAAACACTTACAGAACATTTTCTTAGAATGAAAGAGGAATGATGTCTAGAAGAAATAAAATATGATTTAAAAATGGAAAATGTTAGCTCTTCATGGAAAACACACAACCTAGAATACTACACACACACACACACCCCCCCATACTTCCTAGCTTATTCTTAGTCATAGCCATAAATAGCTACAAATATTTAGCAACTATTTTCCAATATGATCATTTTTGTTCTGAACACATGAGTAGGTTAGTATAAGAAACATGACCCAGTAAATGAAGGCTTCCAACCCTGAATTTCCATGAAAACTCGAGTTTGAAGGAACTAGGTCACAGCGACCCTTCTTTGTTCAACCCAGTAAAAAACCTGATGTTATCAAGGTAACAACCACAAAAGAGGAAGCCCAAATGCAAATGGTTCTCAAAAGGGAATATTCATGTGTTCTAGACTGATGTGAACAACTAAAAACAAGGACAGCTTGCCTCTCCAAGGGCCCTGAAAAAGAGTATCCTTCCCCTCCAAACCTCCACCACCAAAACACTCCCTGACAACCTTGAAGTTCAAAAGCAATGAATACAAGGTTCTGGAGAACAAATGCAAGTGGGAGAAATTTAAGACAAAAATAAAAGAAACTGTGAGAATTCACCCAGGACCTAAATTTCATATTGGCTGTCGAATTAACTCCACAGTCAACAACAAATGTGTATTGAGCACATTGGCCCTAGAGAAAGAGAGTGAAAAAGACAAGACTCTTGTCCTCATGGAACTGACTATAGTCTGGGGAGAGGGGCAACAAATGTAAGGTACATAGGGTAATCACAGACCACAAAGCCAGTAATTCAGTGCTGGGATATGGCTAGGGGCAAGGCAGGAGCCACTGCAATCAGAGTGGTCAGGAAAGGCCTCTGGCAGGAAGTGACTGCTGAACTGAGAGCCGGAAGAGAAGGCACCAGCCAAGCAACTAGCTAGGGGGTGAAAGTCCCAAGTCAGAAGGTGCCCCTGAGCCTACAGTATGGATGAGAAGGGGAAGGGGACAGAACTCTAATCAGCCAAGCCCATGGGGTCCTCTGGCTCCCCTAATGGAGCATGGCCTCCCGCCAAAAAGCATGCAAGGGCACAGTCCCTAAACTTGGGAAACTGAGGCAGAGGGGCTTGGAGGGGGTGGAATGGAGAAAAAATATCCATTAAGGGAGGGGTAGGGTAGAACTTCCCTTGGTATCACTAAATTATCCCCTCTGTGCCAAAAAGAAAACTAGGCTCAGAAGAGTTCAGTGGCTTGCACACAGTGATGCCACTCTTAAAAGGATGGGCTAGGAATATCTGACTGGCATTTTTCCATTTTTTAACATAACATAAGCATCTGGTATGAGTTATAATGGTATACTATTAAGATTCATGTGAGCCAGGCATAGTGGCTCACACCTGTAATCCCAGAACTTTGGGAAGCTGAGGTGGGAAGATCACTTGAGCCCAGGAGTTCGAGACCAGCCTGGGTAATGTTGTGAGACTCCCATCTCTGCAAAAAAAATTTAAACATTAGCTGGGTGTGGTGGCACACACCTGTAGTCCCAGCTACTCAGGAGACTAAGCTGGGGGGATCCCTTGAGCCTAGGCGTTTGAGGCTGCAATGAGCAGTGATCACGCCACCACACTCCAGCCTGGGCAATAGAACAAGACCCTCTCTCAAAAAAAATAAAAGATACATATGAACTGAGGATTTTTCATTTATGATATTGACTAAGTCTCCAATTATCAAGAGATAGAAAGTTTTCCCTTGTAGAATTCCTACAAATTAATTTATCTTCTTTATAAATTGATGCTAATTAACATTTCAAGACAATCTCTATATGACTTCTAAGTACATAACTCATAGCAGCCAAAATATAGAAGCTCAAATGTCCAACAATAGGGTAAAAACTGAGGATGATACAGAAATAAGGCAGAAGCCTGCTTACAGTTTTAAATGATAAGCATGTAGACTCCTCATACATGGAAACCTGATAGTAACTTAAGTTTACATTAAACAGAAAAAGCAGTGCATGACATAGTATGTACACACTGGTTACAACTTTGGGACAAAAAGCATATACTTAACAAAGATGAGAAATAAATGGATAAGAATGTCATAAGACAGGGCCATTTTCATTTAAGGCTGCTTAAGCTTACATAATAAATATGTGAGGCAGCTTTTTAAAAGACAACAAGGTCAAATAAATGTCTTAATAAGTATACTTTCTTGAATCTATCCAGAACACACTTATATTCTCTTCATCATTTGGAATTTTCAAAGTACAAATACCATTGAAGATTCCCTTCTTTTAATTCAATTTAGATACTGGAGATTTGCATTACTGAGCAGTTTAATATTAACTCAATGGCAAAAGACAGTGCAAAGGAGATTCCTGTTACCAAATATTCGTATAAACACTAAACACTAACCAAAATTCTTCACAGAGACTGTAAACCTAGAGAGTTATTGTGAAACAAATTTTCGCCACTTATAACACAGGCTACACAACTCATCCAAAGTCTCATTTTCTCTCATCCTGCTGTTTAATATATTAAAACGGTATGTTAAAAATTGATTATTTCCAAAATTATTAAAGGAATTTCATGAAATACAGTCATTGATGGAGATGTAAAATGTTGCCTATGTCATCTTGTGGGCCTAAAACCACTTCAGGTTAGTTTTTCAAGACCATCACAATATTGGGATCCATTAATTATTCTGACACATAAAGATTCCGCAATGTGCTTCTTCTCTTTGTATTTAAAAATTTAAGGAGTTTTGCACTGATTGCCCGTTGCCTAGCAAACAACAATCTGTTTAAGATGAACTATTAAGCATATATACAAAATGACTTTAGAAAATTATTTAACTCCATTTCAAGATGGATGAGACAAATAAAAATAAGAGATACTATAAAGAAAAAAATTTTAAGTATACCACAATTCAAATCTAATTTCCTAGACCCTCTATTTTATCTTTAAAAGTTGGAAACTCCATTAGCATTGTCTATTTTGATTCACTTTAAATGGTAAGTTTAAACTTACCATTTAAAACTGTAAATGATAAGTTTACAGTCCCTGAATCAAAATGACATAGCAAATAAAAACAAAGGATGAACATTGGAAATGTTCTAAAAATGCCACTGAATCATATACTTTAAAATGATTCATTTTGCTATATAAATTTTACCTCAATAACCAAAAAAAGGATAAAATCACCAGTATATATCTATATTTCCAAGAGAATATAATATTTATGTGATAAAGAGATAATATAGCAAATCTATGCAATAAAATTCTAAGGTTGTTCAACTCAAACATTATAACAATAAGAAGTCATATTCATGATTAATATATGAGATCTGCTTCAAAAGAATATAGAGGAGGCCAGGCGCGGTGGCTCACGCCTGTAATCTCAACACTCTGGGAGGCCAAGACAGGTGGATCACTTGAGATCAGGAGTTTGGGACCAGCCTGGCCAACATGGTGAAACCCCATCTCTACTAAAAATACAAAAATTAGCCAGGCATGTTGGTGCACACCTATAATCTCAGCCACTCAGGAGGCTGAGGCATGACAGTTGCTTAAATCTGGGAGGCAGAGGTTGCGATGAGCTAAGAACGTGCCACTGCACTCCAGCCTGGGCGACAGAGTGAGACTGTGTCAAAAAAAAAAAAAAAAAAAAAAAAAAGAGTAACAGCCGGGCTTGGTGGCTCACGTCTGTAATCTCAGCACTTTGGGAGGCCAAGGCGGGAGGATCACGAGGTCAGGAGTTTGAGACCAGCCTGATCAACACAGTGAAACCCCGTCTCTACTAAAAATACAAGAAATTAGCTGGGCACAGTGGCGGGCGCCTATAATCCCAGCTACTTGGGAGGATCGCTTGAACCCGGGAGGCAAAGGTTACAGTGAGCTGAGATTGTGCCACTGCACTCCAGCCCGGGCAACAGTGTGAGACTCCGTCTCAAAAATAATAATAATAACAATAACAAATAAAAAGAATATAGAGAAAAAGAATATGAGAGAAAATGAGTGGGAGTATAGCTGTAAAGATTGGCTGGAAGTTAATCATTATGGAACCTGAGCAATGGGTACAGGGAGTTTATTATATTATTCCCTCCACTACTGTGTATATTTAAAACTGCCCATAGTAAGTAGTTTTTTAAAAATTCTATCTTTAGGATGGGTTTAATGCTGGAACTAAAGACACTTGTATAGCACTGGGTACTTAAGGAGCTTAAAGTGAATCAGAAAACCAGCAAAATTATTATCTTACTTACTTATTATCATCTGACTTCTAATATTATCTACTGTTAACTTATTTTTTTAATGAACAAGGAAGCTTAAGCATTTCTTCAGTGGTTTATATGAACAGACTTCCTACATAGCACATTTTATAAAGGATAGCAATTTATAAGATCGGTACATACCAGGAGTATCATAGGCCTTTTCCAAGTTGTTAATCCTATGATTCCAGAGAGTATCACCTGTAAAAATAAACTATCATAAATATAGAAAATGGACCAATTCCAATAAACAAATCCTCAGTCACAAAAGTACATATTTTTAAAGATACTGAAATTTCAAAACATTCTAAATCAAACATTTAATATTCCTCCTGGATTACAGGGTTCACCCTGGTAGACCACTTTGGACTTTTACTTCCAAGCCCTCAAAGCTTTTTTATTGACTTTAATTTTGTTTTGTTTTTAAAGACAGGGTCTTGCTCTGCCACCCAGGCTGGAGTGCAATAGCGTGATCATGCCTCATCGCAGCCTTGACTTTCTGGGCTCTGGTGATCCTCCCGCCTCTGCCTCTCCAGGAGCTAGGACTACAAGCGCATGTCACCACACCTGGCCTGTTTTATCTTAATGTCAATTAAGAACGCACAATCAGAAATTAGCCTCTCCTTCTGGTGAGTGAGGAATTACTATTTCTCAGCCAAGCTCCCTGTTCCTAGCAGCACCCAATCTGTTGCCAGGGTTAGCCTCATCGGATGCATGTCTGGCGGTATCCTTCCCTTCATCAGGTACCCATCCACTATGGGACAGGTAAAGTCTTTGAAATGGGAAACAAGGCCCTTCAGGATTTTCTCTTACCTACTCTCAAGCTTGGTTTTTACATACCCCAGCCCCTCCACCGCATACCTTCCTACCAAGTACCTGCCCTCCCTCAGGCCAACCAGGCTCCTGACATTCCTGGGCTCTGTGCTTCTTTCTCTTTGCTGAAGTGCTGTGTCCTCCCAGCTTCCCTCCTAGCCGCCTGAGAACTTTTACCCATCCTGCAAGGCCCCATTGAGCAGTCACCTGCCCTGAAAAGCCCTCACTGATTCCACCACTCCACACTCATGGAAGCCTTCTGCACACACTTCTTTTTTTCCAAAAACTCGATTGTAATAATTGAGGGATGTGTCTCTGTATTACCCACTAACTGTGAACTCCTGTCTTGTCTCTCTAAAGTCCTAGTTCCCAGTATTGTGCCCCAAATTGTTGGCAATTAATATATGTTCTACAGCATTTATTTCACAAAGTGGGAGGAACTACTGTGAGAAGGAGCCCATGTTGCAAAATGACACTTCCATAAAAAACGAGCTAAAAAATCTCAATAAGAAAAAAACAGGCTGGGCCTGGTGGCTCACTCCTGTTACCCCCAGCACTTTGGGAGGCCAAGGCAGGCGAATTGCCTGAGCTCAGGACTTCGAGACCAGCCTGGACAACATGGTGAAACCCCATCTCCACTAAAATACAAAACCTTAGCCAGGCATGGTGACACTCTTGGGAGGCTGAGGCACAAGAATCTCTTGAACCCAGGAGGTAGAGGGTGCAGTGAACCGAGATCGCACCACTGCACTCCAGCCTAGGTGGCAGAGCGAGACTCATCTCCAAAAAAAAAAAAAAAAAAAAAAAAAAAAAAAAAAAAAAAGTATTATTAAAAGGAAGTGTCCAGCTCCAGCCATAAAAACCCATAAAATAGCGATATGCCTAAACTGTTCTTCTCACCTTGCCTACCCAGGCACAGCACCCCACCCTCCTCCATGTTAACAATCTAGCATGTTTACATATTTTACATATGTATGTATTTTTCTCTAAATTCTTAGTACTACACACATATGTCTATGTGTATATATACACACTCACAGGGATGTGATTTTTGTGAAAAAAATCATAAAACATATACTTTCCCTGCCTCTTCCTTTACTCTCTCAATAAATACTTCATAGAAATCTCTTCACATGCATTGGAAGAGCTCTAATTCATTTCACTTTAGTGGCTACATAACATTCCATTGTGTGACTGTATTTAACATATTCAATCATTTCCATATTAATGGGCATTCATTCTATGTCTAGTTTTTTGCTCTCACAAACAATGCTGCAGTAAACATCTATGAACATATATCTTTAAAAACAAGTGCTTTTATTTCAGCGGAAAAAAGTCCCAGGAGTGAAGTTTCTAAGTTGAAAGGTATTTCTAATTTTTTTATTTTAATAGATCATGACAGATTCAACTGTCATTTCAAATGAGGTATCTCTGAAACCAAAGAACTAAGCTATCCGTATTTCTTCCTTTGGAGGGGAGGTATTTTGTTTACATATGTTAGCAACAAACTATAGAAAATGTAAGTTTAAAAATATGTACAAAATGTATATATGTACAAAATGAGAAACGTCAATCATCTCAAACTATATATGACAAAGATCTTTAAGGCCTCAGTGGGGAGAAATACCAAGTTGATCGTGCAATATTAAATCAATAGCCAAGTAAGTCAAGGCATATACCAAGTCTGTGGATTAAAGAAAAACGAAGAAGGTCATTTCCATTGAAGTTGTTATATAGACTCAGCACATATTCAAGTTAAATCCCACCAGGATTCCTGTAAGCCACCGCTCTTTACAATGTTTTAAGAAACTATATTCCAGCTCCAGGCGGGAGCTATAGTTGTGGTTCTTCATTCCTGAAGCCGGCAACAGAGGCACACACCTACTTTTATTCAACTTCTCCCTCTCTTCAAGCCCGGTGAAGCCCTGAGGCACTTGGGGAACCCTGTGAGTGTCGAAGGGGAGAAAAGCAAATAGAGGAAGCAGGCCTGGATGGTTAGAAGCCTCTCGAATGGTTAATGGGAACAGAGGTGCTACAGTTGGGGATAAATTTTTTAAGAGCTCAAGACTTAAGGAAGGATGCTTCCATTTCATCTGAAAGGGAAGCAGAATTCACGGATGGGGAAAGGAGTTGGGAAAAAAGAGAAGGAGGCAGAGTATTTAATGCCTCCACTCCCTTGGTGGCAGCAGTAGCTGGAGCTCCATCAGAAATGAGTCAAGAAGGTCCCTTAACAATGTCCTTCCATGGCTCCCATTATGCCAGAATGCTATTACATGTTTAACCATTAGTATCACGATGAGGGCTTGGACCTGTGCATACTCACTCACACACCACTAAAGGATCCCAGAAGGCACTCAATTAGTTACGGCAAGAGTCAATGAGTGAATGAATGAATGGAGGCCAGAGACAGGAGATGACCGTGCTCAAAGATGACTATGTAAGCCTAAACACATTTTTCATCCCCTGTGCTTCCTAAAAGAGTACAGCAGCAACAAAAAGCAACTCCATCAGCATTCTTTCCATCCAGCGCAAGATGGAACTTGCCCTGAATGAACAGGTAAGAACCTATTTTCTAACACCAAACAATCTCTATATTATTATAAGGAGAGGTATTACAAGTTTTGTTTCACTCACTGATAACCCATTTCTTGTAGCTTATAGGAAAAAGCAGAGGCTTTTCCTTTTTTCTGATACTACAAAGAAGGGCTCTGAGATACCCCAGGGGAGAGTCATTGTTACCCACCATAAATGGTTAATGTGCTTTCATTTTCCAAAGTAAAAATCAAATCGTTAAGATCAGAAGCTTGTAATTCTACTGCCCTATTTCCCTTTGCTAATCCATTAACATGTGTTAGAGCAAAAATGTTCTGAATCATTTATCAAAAGCTGCTGTATGTAAACACAGAGATTTTTAAAAAGCCATTGTTGTAAATATCCTGTGTTACCTTGTAAATAAGCAGAAAATCATGTCAAACTTCTCAACAACCTACCCTGCCCTATAGCTCTTATGATGGCAATTTTTTTAAAAATGTGTGTGTGTGTGTGTGTGTGTGGTTTTCTTCCCTATCTGTCTAGCATAGCTCATTTGAAAAAACAAATTGAGAAAATGGGCAACTGAATATTTCTAATGAAAACATAATGGTAACTATAATGTCCTACGAAAATACTGGCCTGTTCACTTTACTTTGATTAACTATTACCTCGGTGTTTAAAAACCATTGATAGAGGCTTCTGTGTATTCCAGGTCTGGTGCTTGGGTCCAGCAGTGATGCACTCTCCCATATATACTCTAGCTACACCTTCACAAAATCAGTCCTGAAGAAGCAGCATCCCGCCCATTTTACAGATGAGTAACTGAGGCCGAGAGGCAGAGAACTTATAAATGTGACTCTGCTGATACACAAAATAAAGGACCAAAGAAATCAAAACTCATCCTCAAAATTATATTTTAAATATCCCTTAAATATTAAAGTAGTATTTGATTAGTATGATAAAAAATATTTACTATCATTTAACTGGTAGTAAGCATAATCTTTATGTTAGTTTTTCCTTTGGTCCATTGATTTTTCTTTATGTTTATTCACTGCAATTTTTTTTAAAAAGGTTCACCCTAACGTTCACCAATGTCTGTCTCTTTGTATGAAAGTGAAACCTTGCCAAAGAATCATGGACTCAAAGAAGGATGATCATAAATTCAAATCAGTGACTTAAAGCAGAGACATGAATGTATACAACTGATAAAGAATAACAGGGCACTCAGTAAGGAACAAAAAACAAAAACCAATTCTCTACCACTCACCTGAAATATCTCCCAAGGATCATGCATGTCATCGAAGTTAGGAATTTTGTTTCTGAAGGAGGAGAGACAACCCAGTGCAACTCTCTCTCCTCTTTCATTAAATCTAGTGCAGTGTGGCAGACTGAGTCTCCCATACCACAGTGGAATGTAGTTAACCCCAGTGGAACCTAGTTAACTCCCATACCCCAGTGGAATCTAGTTAACATTAACGCCCATACCCCAGTGGAATCTAGTTAACCCCAGCGGAACCGAGTTAACTCCCATACCCCAGTGGAATCCAGTTAACATTAACTCCCATACCCCAGTGGAATCTACTTAACCCCATTGGAACAATTAACTCCCATACCCCAGTGGAATCTAGTTAACATTAACTCCCATACCCCAGAGGAATCTAGTTAACTCCTATACCTCAGTGGAATCTAGTTAACTCCCATGCCCCAGTGGAATCTAGTTAACTCCCATACCCCGGTGGAATCTAGTTAACTCCCATGCCCCAGTGGAATCTAGTTAACACTAAACACACCCCCCAAACCGAGAGCTAGGACAGCACAGCTGAAGACGGACACTGAGACACTCCCGTAGCCACTCACCTCCAGTCAAACGTCAGGTTGTTTTTCAAGATGGCTCATCTTTTAGCTTCATGAATTTGGGGAATAATAATACATTGAGTGATTTACCAGTGATACCAGGAAGACATTGAATGCTCAGAGTGCTCAAAAACACAGACTACGTTAAAAACTCTCCCTTCAAGTTGCTGAAAGTATGAATAAAAACGATGAGAAAAGATGCTTTATAGAATTTGTTAATTCTTAAGTGTTTTTAAAAATAGATAAAATATACCTTCAAAGTTCAAACAAGTGACAGAAGCCTCCAAAATCTCAGGCTCAGGTCTCTCTTAAGGAAATATGTATGAAAAAATATCCTTGAACTATACGGTGTTCAACAAAGAGTCATTTCAAATAAATATATTTGTCTCTTGAACCTAATTTTGTATCAAATATACAAGCAAAATTTTTCAGTGAAGCCTAAAGAAGATGTGTGGGTTCAGTTGATATAGCAGGCTAAAGATCCTAATGGTCAAAGCTTGAAATATGAGAATATTCTTCTACTGTTTTCCTATGTGGTTTCGAAGTAACCTTAGACATAAGTTGGCACCTCCATTCAACTACCTAGTTTCATATGCCAATAAAACTTGTGAATGAATAAACATGGCATATCCATACAATAAAATAGGAATGAAGTACTGAGACTTGCCACAGCATGGATGAAGCTTGAAAACATGCTGAGTGAAAGAAACAAATCATAAAAGACCACATATTATATGATCCCATGTACATGAAATGTCCAGAACAGACATATCTACAGAGACTGAAAGTGGGTTAATCAGTGGGTGGCTAGGGGTAGAGGTGGTGGAGAAAGGGGAGTAACTACTCAAAACTTTGGGGGTGACAAACATTTTCTAAAACTGTAATAGTTGCACAACTGTGAATTTACTAAAAACCATTGACCAGTACACTTTAAATGGGTAAATTGTATGGCATGTCAAAGCTTTTTTTTTTTAATTCTGTAGTTCTCGACTTATACTCTTCCAGCATTTTTTTTTAACAGAAACCTTAGTTTAGCTATCTTTGAATTAGTTACAATGTGCTATCAAGCCCATTTCTTTTATAAATACATACTAAAATACTAATGGCTGAAGTTGTGATATCTGGAATTTGCCTTAAAATAATCCGAGGGTGGGGCCGGATGCGGTGGCTCATGCCTATAATCCCAGTACTTTGGGAGGCCGAGGCGGGCGGATCACGAGGTCAGGAGATCGAGACTCTCCTGGCTAACATGGTGAAACCCTGTCTCTACTAAAAAACACACACAAAAAATTAGCTGGGCGTGGTGGTGGGCACCTGTGGTCCCAGCTACTTGGGAGGCTGAGGCAGGAGAATAGTGTGAACCTGGGAGGCAGAGCTTGCAGTGAGCCAAGATCGTGCCATTGCACTGCAGCCTGGGCAACAGAGCGAAACTCCATCTCCAAAAAAAAAAATTATCTGAGGGTGTTAGGAAGGGGAGGCAGTGTTAGGTATAAAGTGGTCATGTGTTGATAGCTACTGGGTGAAGGGTAAAATGGGGGATCATTACACCCTTCTTTCTACATTTGTTGAGATTTTTTTAATTTTCATAATAAAAGATTTAAAGTTAAAGGGAGTAGTTCTTCGAACTGCCCACTCAATCCTATGCTGGTTCTATTTTCTTGTAATAAAAATACACGCATTGAAATATATATAGATGAAATGTGACACCTGAGATTTGCTTCCAAATAATAAGAGAATTTAATCTCACAAATGGACTAGGGAGCACGAAGGATCTAATTCCTACCCTGCTTGGAATATTCATCCTTCCTGAAGTTTATCAGAAGACACAAGGCCTGCAGCAGAGCCCAGGAAGCGGGTACAAATGAAACCGTTGTTGAAGCTGGGTGAAAGATATATGTGGGTTCAACATATACTGCATAAAATGTAAACTTTTCCACAACACGAAGTTTTTCAAAAACAACCTCTTGTCACATGCATAAATTCAAAACATGTGATACAAGGCTCTTTTTCCCCTAAAGCACCAAGAGAGTCATGGTGCCTAAAGCCATCTTCTTAAAACTGTATTTAATTAATTGTTCTACAAATACAGTATCTATTGCTTCTGTTGTCACTTTGCAAATTCTGAGGTCAATCTCAGGAACAAGTCACAAAAAGCAGGAATAACCAACAGTTATAGAGTTGCATATAGACCGGGGTTTGGAGGGTATGGGGAAGAATGGGGAAAGACATATAGCAGAGAACTTGTCAGTTCCAAATCACTGATTTCTTTCTCTGCTCTGCTATGCCCAGACTTGGAGACAAGGACATACCCAGCCAGCAGACCAGGAGTATTTATCTTTTATTTTATTTTATTTTATTTTTTTTGAGACGGAGTCTCGCTTTGTCGCCCAGGCTGGAGTGCAGTGGCCGCGATCTTGGCTCACTGCAAGCTCCGCCTCCCGGGTTCACGCCTTTCTCCTGCCTTAGCCTCCCAGTAACTGGGACTGCAGGCGCCCGCCACCGCGCCCGGCTAATTTTTTGTATTTTTAGTAGAGACGGGGTTTCACCGTGTTAGCCAGGATGGTCTCGATATCCCGACCTCGTGATCCGCCCGCCTCGGCCCCCCAAAGTGCTGGGATTCCAGGCATGAGCCACCGCGCCCGGCCCAGACCAGGAGTATTAACCTTCACCTTCTGGTTGAAGGCTTTTTTTTTTTTTTTTTTTTTTTTTTTTTTTTTTTGGTACTTCATCAAATTCAACTAAGTGCATTTACCTCTGAAGTGATATCTAAGTGCATTTACCTCTGAAATGATTCACAACAGTAAATGATATCAGCTTTTAATTTTATAAGACAAAAAATAGTTTTTAATAATTCTAAACTAGCTATGTTTGAGAAGACAATAGATCACGATTTTATGAAGAGCAAATTCCTAAAAATATATGCAAGATTATTACTGGCCCACAGTATTTAGAGAAACGAAATGCACCCACTCTTTGGCTGGATTTAGTCAGACAAGTAGAATAGGTAGCATAATAGGTCTAATTCCTAGCCCATCTGGAATATCCATCCTTCTGGAGTTTTCCTGAACACTCATTGAGGCCAGCGGCAGAGCCCACAGGCAGGGCCACTAGGGTGGCATTTTTTCTTCATGAGGCACAAATCGTGGTCTTCCCTCACCACAGCACAGCATGTACCCCAATAAGATCATTCAACATGAAAGTATTTCAAAAGGAAAGCAAATTGGCACTGGATGAAGTATACAATTTCAGGCGAGTCTCAAGGAACCTAATGTTCTTATTTAAACAATTACTTTGGGTTCAACTAGTTCTTCGAGTCCTTTTTTTCAGTTTGGTCTTGAATTGCCATATGTGTGAAACTGCAAAAGCAGTTCTTACCATTCAGGACATACACTGATTACAGATCTTACTAAAAACTAGCAGCATTGCTAGACTTTCAGATTTACACAGTGAGTTCATAGAAAGGTTATTTACGGCCGGCTGTGGTGGTTCATGCCTCTAATCCCCACATTTTGGGAGGCCGAGGCAGGAGAATCACTTGAGCTCAGGAGTTAGAAACCAGCCTGGGCAACATGGGGAAACTCCGTCCCTTAAAAATAAAAAATAAAAATTAAAAATTAAAAAAAAAAGATATAAAGAAAGGTTATTTGCTTTACTCATCTTCCATAGTCATTCCACAAAGATGTGTTTCCAAGTCTTTCAACACCCAGAAAACTTCAGGGGGTTACATGCCTTGGACATTGTGCGATTGTTAGGAGGTGGAGGGGTGTGACCACCCGGTGTCCGTAGATACTGGCTGGCAGCAGCTTTTCTCTGAAGTTGGGCACTCTTTGGCCCCAGGCTCAGCGTTCCCGGTTGGAGGAGTGGGTCCTGGAGAGCAGACATCTCTAGCTAGCTGCTGGGTGCTCCAGGACCTTTGGCCAGCTCGTCCCTAATGACAGGTCCCGGTTCTCACAAACTGAATTCTGCACAGCAGCCTGCATGGCTCCAGGAACCAAGTGGGGTTAAGGCCCTCCTTTAATGACCAGGTACAAGCGCCATTTCACACACACCCTCTCATTACCTCCTGAACTCGTCTGGGGGTCGAGCCACCCTACACATTTCACATTTACGTGTGTCTTAATGGAGAATAAAACAAGCGATGTGTCCGAAACTGTCCCATCCCACAAATACACCTACTATGTGCCAGGCATTCTTGATACATCGGTGAACAAAAATGATCAAAATCCCTGCCCTCCCAGCACAGACGTTGTCAGTGCAGCAAATACTCAACGACCAAAAGAAGTTTAATCACTTTCCTCCCACTTTCCTGCCACCCACACCCTGTCCTTCCAACCTCCCAAAGAGCTGGGTGTCTTTGCTTAATTCTATTAGCTTACTGGGACAATAAAATCCTTCAGCCTGCGCGCAACAGACACTACGCAGGTGCAGCCCAATTCACCCCTGAACTCGACCGTCGCGGAACATTTTTCTCCAGGCTCCAAAAACTTCAGGTGGCGTTAAGGCTCCCCCAACTGCAGCCCTGGAGGCCAACTAAGGGACAATGGAAGGGTACGACCAGAACCCCCAATCCACGGGATGACCGGGCGAGCGGGGCGCGCGCGCGGTACTCACCGAGGAGCCGGCCCAGAACGGGCACGAGTTCTTCACCTGCGGAGAGCTGCTCAGCGACAGCGCCCCGAAGCTGAGCGCCACCATGCAGCAGCCCAGGATCAGCTGCAGCAGCCCGAGTGACAGAAGCGGGCGGGCGGGCAGCAGCGCAGAGCCCGGGGCCGCGGCGGCAGCGGCGGCGGCCGCCCGGCGGGAGGAGAGCGCCGGCGGCGCGGCCAGAACCCCGGCGGCAGCGGTGGCCGCGCAGCGAGGCCGCGACGGGGGCTGCAGCGCGCCCCGGGGCCAGCGCGGCCGCAGCGGGGGCAGCGGCGGCTCCTGGGCGGCGGCGGCGGCGGCGCCGGGGCCCCCGGTCTGCGGCCCACCCGAAAGCCCAGCCACGGGGCAGCAGGAGCCCGGCAGCACCACGGGCAGGGACATGGACGGACCGTGAAGGGTGCGGCCGGCGGTGGCGGGGAGGGGACGCTGAGCCGAGCCGAAGGCGCCGCACACTGGGCACCGCGGGCGGGCTCCGAGGCCGAGGGGGAGGGAAGGAAATGCGCACGGCCCAACCACTTGCTGCCGCCGCTGCCGCCGCTGCCGCCGCCGCCGCTGCCCTGGCTCCAGCCGGCCGCACCCACCTGCCGCCTGGCGGGTCCGCCTCCCGCTGGCCCCGGGCGCAACCTCACTCTCACCCACGCGCACCCAGTGCTCGCGCTGCGCTGGGGCAAGTGCGCCACAGCCTCGGGGTCCCCGCCAAATCTGCGCCGGCTTTCTGGGGTCCTGGCAGGGTGCCCTGCCCCAAATAATTAAATAAGTCCCTCGAGCTGGGAGGCACCCTACGGCCAGGACGCGTCAGCGCAGGCCACTGACAGTCTCAGCGTCTGTCCCCACCCGCCGAGCTGGGGCTAGAGAAGAGCTTGGAAAGCGCCGTGGACCCTCGGGCCCCTTTACAGTCCAGCCACTAAAGAGGCCCCGGCGCGCTTTAATGAGAAGGGAGCCCGCCCTTAAACTTTTGCCCCCACAAGGAGGGGGATGACTGGAGGAGGGGCTTTGGGGCGACTCGATGGGAAGAGGCGTAAGCCAAGGACTTCGGGAAGGACGACGCCGAGCGCAGTTACCGCTCGCAGGGCGCAGGACCTGCCTACCCCGCATCAGCGCGGCAGTGCTTTCCCGGCATCTCGGTAGGAGCGGGAATGAAAGGACTGGGTTACCTTGGAAGCATCCAGCATCCGTAAAGAAAGTACCCGGGGCAGCCCGGAGCGCATGGCAAGGATTACGCTCTATCCTCCTCTTATTGACTCATGAGCTGTATCAGGCATTTATTAGGCATCACCTGGTAGAACACGCAACCCCCAAACTTCCGAGGAAATATCCTAATAAAATCCTAAACTATTTTGGTAATATATGAAAAATCTTTAGAGAAAAAAAAAAAAAAAAAAAGATGATTCCTCTTTGCAAAATGAATTCCCTTAGTAATGTGCTTTTCACCTTGGAAGAATTCTAATGCGTAGAAAGTTTCGTACCTAAAATGATTATAATAGACTTTTTTTCCTGATAAGAACCACAGCAGTGTTCTTGGCAGTTAGTCAGTTCCAGTATTAGAAAACTTATCTTATCCTAAGGTATTTAACATCCTCCCACCCAATAAACCAAGAAAAGTGTGTGTCAGTTTTTATACTCTTTGTGGAAGCTGTATTTATATTGGTCGTTACACTTTAATCCACAATGTGATATACTGTCAATGTGCCCAAGTTTACATATACACTTCTTAAATTATTAAAGCACTTGTCATTAATGGTGCCTAGGACTTCCTTTACAGACTGCTCCCATGAATAAATTCAAATTCTGGAGGAAAAGGGAGATGTCTTTCAAAATAAGGGTTTAAAGTCTGTTGATTCATTTTTAAAATGCCATACAGTATATGCTTCTAAATTGCTGCTGATGTTAAATGAAAAGCTTCTTTGGGCCGAAGTTATACTCTATTTTATATACAAGCTTAACAGTATTTAATTTTTAACCATGTATTACACCATGCAATATAGTAAGTCTGACTGAGTCTTAAGAAATTCTCTCCGCTAAACAAATCTATTTCATTGGCCAGTTCTTGACATCTGAAACTTACAATTAAAAATGTATTATTTGTGTCTAAGAATGTTGCTGTTAGAAGTCAGGATATCCTCTGGTCCTTGGGGGGGGACATGATTATGACTGGAAAGAGGGTTTCAAGGGGTGCTAGTGACTATTTCTTTCTTGATGTGGGTACTAATTACATGAGTAAGGTTCATTTTGTGAAAATTCATGGAGTTACAGTTATGATTTGTGTGCGTCTCTGTGTATATTTTATACTTAAATACTGTAAAGTATTTCCAAATACTTTATTCTTAAAAATTTTAAAGCCTTTTTCCCCATGCAGAAACAGATGATAGCAGAAGTAATTGAAATCCATAGATGATTTTATCGTCTTAAAGCCTTTACTCATCTTATAAGGTGACTAAAACTTTTCCAAAGCTACTAATTAAGGGTTGTCATACAGTCATTTGTTGTTGTTGTTGTTGTTGTTGTTGTTGTTGTTGTTGTTATTGGCCACATTTATAACTGAGTTTCTTTTTCTGGTTATAAACGCAAATCCATATAACACTACCCCAACCTTTAAAATTATGCCAATAAAAATTCTCAAGTATTTGGGCTTGGTATTTTTGTAAACCAAGCTTGATTCTTTGCATCTCCCAAACCCTGCTTACATTAAGTCTTTAGTTAGATCTGAGCAAGCTGTATGTAACTAAGCTCTTATAGGATAATTCAGAGCCATTGATTTCCATTTGTCTTAATAAATTTTTTTTTTAAAGTGATGACTTTTGAAAACAGTCTGGCAATTTCTCAAGAAGTCAAGTATAGTGTTTATTGTTATTTGACCCACTAATTCCACTCCTAGGTATATACCCAAAAGAAATGAACATATTCACACAAAAACCAGTGCACAAATAGCAGCATTATTCACAACCACCAAAAAGTGGAAGCAACCCAAGTGTCAATCAACTGGATGAATGGATTAACAAAACATGGAATATGCAGCCAGTGGAGTATATTTGTCAGTAAAAAAGGAATGAGGTGCTCATCTATGCTACATGTAGAAACCTTGAAAACATTATACTAAGTTTCAAAATATCATATGTACCCCATAATATGTACAATTATTATGTATCCACAATAATTAAAAAATTTTTAGACATTATGCTAAGTGAAAAAAGCCAGTCACAAATGACCACATATTATATGATTCCATTTATCTAAATTGTCTAGAATAGAGAAATTTGTAGAGACAGAAAGTAGCTTACCAGCTGCTTAGGGCTGGGGAAATGGGGAGATTGTGGGGGGATGATGGCTAAAGGGTATGTGGGTTCTTTTTAAGGTGGTGAAAATGTTCTAAAATTGATTGTACTGATGATTGTACAACTCTGAATGTACTAAAAACCAGTGAATTGTACACTTTAATGGGTAAATTGTATGTAGGGTATGTGAATGATATCTCAATAAAGTTATTATCAAAAAATTTTAAAATGAATAAAGTGAGGAAGAACCTGTGAAAATTTGCCCCAGATTCTTCATTAATGTAGGCCAAAGTTCAAGGAAACAATCACTGAAGTGTGTTGTTTGGTGGAACCCGTATGCCAGTTTTCCTCAAGATCAAAGCTCAACTCCAAGAAGGTTCCGTACACCTTCCACTAATGCTTCCCCTCCCTGTCCCTCATTTTCCACTCCTTGCACTAGGAGTCTCCTCCACTGAGGAGTTCAGTTTCTTTGCCCAGGTTTCTTGGACATCTTTTTTTTTTTCTTTTTTGAGACAGAGTCTCGTTCTGTTGCCCAGGCTGGAGTGCAGTGACATGATCTCGGCTCACTGCAACCTCCGCCTCCCAGGCTCAAGCAATTCTCCTGCCTCAGCCTCCTGAATAGCTGGGATTACAGGTGCACACCACCACACTCGGTTAATTTCTGTATTTTTAGTAGCAACAGGGTTTCACCATGTTGGTCGTGCTGGTCTCAAACTCCTGACCTCGTGATCCGCCCACCTCAGTCTCCCAAGGACCCTTTAAATAAACTCCTCAGTTCATTCCGCACTTCTCAGAAGACTCCATCTGTCAGTTAATTAAAGGAGGCTGTTCCACATTGGAGTGAGAGCTGTTGAAGAAACTCTTTCCTCAAAACCTGTTCCCTGGCAAGATCCTCCAGGTCTTATATTTTACAGAAAAAGGAAGTGCTTCTCTGAATTAAGGCACAGTGGACTCCAGAAGTCTCAGTTAATACGCTGACTGGAGCAGCTTCTTGAAGTGTGCTCCAAAGACCACAGGATCATGCCAGGGCGGGAAAGGGGAATGTCAAGTTCATTCACTTCCCCCCACACCTGTGGGATCAGATACTGTGGACTGAAGGCCTGGAACCTTCATTTTAACAAATGCAAAGAAACATTAGTAGATAGTACTATTTAGACTCCAGAATTTTTATATGGGAATGCTTATATGGGAGAGGAAGGTAGGGAATTTGACTTGAAAGCAAACATACATGCAAATATGTTGGTGGAAGGGCTTTGCTGGCCCCCAGCGGAGCTCTACTGCCCAGGTGATCTTTATGCACAGAAGAAGTTAGACTACTGGATTCTAATGGGAAGGGTACTGTAGGAGAAACCAGCTGCTGGGTTCTAGCCCCTCCTCCACTGTGTGCCTCTGACCCAGTCAGGAGCTTCTTGGCCTCAATAGCTTCAGCTCTAAGAAACGGGTTTGTGAGTATCATCTGCCTGAGGTTGGGCTGTGCAATCATTTGGATACCCCCAGGCCTGCGATTTTGAAATTCAGTCACCCTCATCGCCATGATTTCTCAGATGGCCAGCAAGAGAACAAGGACTAAGAAAAGCAGGTAAATTTGGGGGTGGAATAAATTTATAGACTCAAAATTCCCCAACAAAACCCGAAGCTCACTATTCTAAACTTTAAGGCCTCAGGTTCCATGGTCCTAGGTTTTTCCCTGAGGAAATTGGTGAGTGTTAAGAGCAATTATAACATTTCACTTTGCAGAGAAAGGGCTGTGTGAGGTTTTTTTTAATTAAGAGAGACGGGAAGAATAAAAGAAAGAAAGAAAGAAACCCTGAGCAGAGCTGAGCAAATCAGGCACCAGATTTTTCTGAAATAATGGTGCAGACTGGTTGTTAAGAATTCCTAATGCCTCTGGCCCCAAGACAGACTTATTTGTCAAATAGACGAGCTGTAGCCATATTTTTCTCATTGTTCAAATTAAATACTGAAAACTTCTTATCATGCAAATCCCACAAAAGATAATTCAAGCCAGTTGCTTTAAAAATTATTCATGGCTGATCAATTTCTAGAATAGATAAGCTATATATATATATATGTACACACACACATATATATACACACACATACATATATATATATAAAATAAAGTGTGTCCTACAAGTGTGTGTGTATCTATGGGTAACCTTATATCAGGGCTTCCTGCAGTTTCAAGTTTCTGTAGAAGTCAAAGCTGTAATTCACAAATGGAGGCTGTTTCTTTGTTCTGGAGAAATCTGTTGAATAGGCCTTTTAGTTAACCCAATGTGAAGCACAGACCCCCGAAACAGATGTTTAGGAGACAGCTGTATGTTAACGACAGAAGTTGTCTTGTCTTGAACAGAGCCACCCATTCCCTGACGAAGGATCTCTTTGTCTAAGGTGCTTGTCAGACTCACCAGGGAAGCTTCAGAAACTATATACAAAGTCTAAGCCTCCAGTTGCAGATACCCTGATGTATAAGATCTGCAGTGGGGTGAGGTCTATACAGATATATTAGTAACATCTCCCCTAAGGTTTGAGATGCACAGTCCTCTAAAGCCATGTCTCAGAGACCAATACTCCTCTTCCAGATAGGGGTTTCTAGTACCTCCATATGTGCAGTGTGTGTGTGTGTGTGTGTGTGTGTGTGTGTGTCTGTGTGTGTGTGTTCTTGTTCCTGGCAACTACTCATGAAAGAGAGGACCTCAGCCCCCCCAAAGATATCCTGCCAGTCAAGCTGGAGGAAAGACAGTAAGAGGGACTTGGCTTGGGCTCCGCACAGCACAAGTAGACTGAGCTGTGGTTGTCCCTATATGGTAGGCTTTTTTAAGATTGACAAATTCTAACTGTGGGAAATGTACAAATTTGCTGAATTTAAAATATCTTGGTCATTATCCTGCAGAAGGTCACAAAGTCACCCAGGGAGAGAGAGGTGGGATGCCCCCTGAGAGGAGAGGGCATAACTGCTGTTAACTGGCCCAGCAGTTTTCCTAGGAAAGGAAAAGAGAACTGAAGGAAGTGAAGCTGAGGATGTAGGAACAGCCTGGGCCTCCTGCTAATCCTCGCTACTGATTTTGATTGCCTACTGTATTCAGGCTTTGTGTACATTATTTCTAATGCAACAGCTCTATCAAATAGGGCTTTGTTTTAATTAGGCCAGAAAAGAAGAGAAAGGAACAGAGGGAAATGTATTCACCTTTGTGTTTCTTGCACCCACAGTTTCTATCTGCTTTTCTCAACAGTCCCTGGGATAACAGAAAAACAAGATTTCTCTCTGGTATGGTTTGGACTTGTGTCCTCACCCAAATCTCATGTCAAATTGTGAACCCCAATGTTGGAGGAGGGACCTGGTGGGAGATGATTTGATCATGGGGCAGTCTTCCCCCTTGCCCTTCTCATGGTAATTAGTGTGTTCTCATGAGATCTAGTTGTTTACAATTATGTAGCACCTC